TCCTCTCAATCACCAAAATAGTTCTCTGAGGTAGGTAGAGTGTACCCCCGACTTCTACCCTGCATTCTCTTGCTGCTTTCACTTCCTTTTTTTACTTTATGGAAAATTATGTTTCCTAGTAAGCCACCACCTATAGCAGTGTATCACTTTCAACCTCTCTATTCCCTCTATCCCCATTACATAGCCTCTAGGGTGATACAGATATCTGCAGGAAAAAATAATAATAAACAGAAAATAAGCCTCCATTATACGATGGCATTATTTGTAAGAAGGGCCTATTTATGACAAGGATAAAAGGTGGAAATAGTATTTTTACAATCTTATTATATTTTTTAAAAGTAAATGATTGGATTTTGGAGTAGACCAAATACATTATATACTGAGAAGCAGTCTTGGGAATGGCAGCCTCATGTGTGTAGATTTCTGACATTAGAGTGGTAGAAAAGAGCATTTCCAATAGCTTTCTAATTTGTTTTATTTCTATCTCTTCCCCAACCAAATCCATCTGTCATAATGTGTTATTGTCAAGATATTTATAAAATACAGATTTGATTATAAAATAGTGCCCAGATTAAAAGTCCTTGCTGGATGACCATCACCTACCAAGTCAAGTCCGAATCCTTTATCCTGATATAAAAATTCTTTAAATATATGACCTATTCTACCTTTCCAAGTCCATTTGTACCCTCTGTGCCAAGAACCCTACATTCTAGTCATGCAAAGCTGACAAAGTAACTAACAGCCCCTGAACTTGCCAGATACTGTCAATCCTCCATGACTTTGTTCTCCCTGTATCTGTTGACAAAGAATGCCCTGTGGCCACTTCTTCACTTGTTGAACTTCTACTTATCCTTTGGTGTACGCAGCAAATGCCTCTCCTTTGTAAGACCTCTCTAGCACCAGGATTAATAGCTTCCTTCCCTCTATATCCCTAAGTCTTTGACTCAAATAAATATAAAAATCATCATAATGAGCCTTGATTTACTGTGTACAGATCTTTCTTTTATAGCCCATGAAATTCCTGAAGAGTAAGTCCATATGAAGTTCACCCTTGTAACCTCGGTGTTAACATAAAGCCTATTAGGTATTCAAAGTTTGTTTTGTTAATGAATGATTCATTAATTCATGTATGGCCATCTTGTAATTCTGTAAGAAAAATTGCTCTCATCATGATTATTACAATCCTTGAAAGTTTGCTGCTATCTCTTAGTTACAGAAATGAGTCTGAATGTATTCTCGTCCTGATCCTGCCTTTTCAGCACTGCTCAGTTCTCTGGCATTTATTCCTGAGAATACTTAGTGTTTGGTATTAAATAATGATCAATAAATTGCCCATCAGCTTTCTTCTGGTGTGAAATCCTTAATTTGTTTTATCATTTGTTTTGCAATTCTCTTTCAATCCTTTTATCACTTGGTCAGCGTTTAGTGATGATAATTGGACAATGCTGTTTGGCACATGGTACTACATTCAGTGTTATTTCCTCCCGCAAACTCCCAAAGTCTTGGAGACCTAGAGACATGAAAGACATACAGAAGGAGAACAAACAAGAATATACAAATTGGAGAACGAAAAAGTACATATGGCATTATGAGGAGGGATGGGCCATGAGCAGGTTGTCAGTCAACAGTTCTAAGGAAAATAAAAAAGACAAAACAAAACAAGATGATACCTACAGGGAATATGGTATAATGCAATGGTTTTCACATTTTTTTCTAAGTGTAGGAATCTTACATCACAAAGTGGTAGAGATGGTGAATTGTTTAATCAAATCTCCATTTGTAATTCCATGGACTGTGTCCCCCCAGAATTCATATGCTGAAATTCTAACTCCCAAGGTGATGGTTCTAGGAGATGGGGCCTTTGGATGGTGATCAGGTCATGAAGGTGGAGCCCTTGTGAATGGGATTAGTGTCCTATGAGAGAGATTCCAGAGAAACCCTTACCCCTTCCACTGTGTGAGAACACAGATAGAAGGTGTCATTCATGAACCAGAGGGCAGGACCTCACCAGACACCAAATCTGTCAGCTCCTTGATCATGGACTTCCCGGCCTCCAGACTGTGAGGAATAAATTTCTGTTGTTAATTTCAGTAGTCCAAGGTATTTTGTTACAGCAGCCCAAACAGACTAAGACACTTAGTAACAGAACCCTGAATTCATTTGGGACCACAATATGTCCAACCAAAGAAGACACTGTCAACTTCTCTGGCAGTATAGAGGCTGTGACTAAGTAGCACCGATAAGATATAAGTGGGGAGATCATGTGGGGCTTCAGCAAGTCTATTTAACTATGAGAAGGTATATCTCTTTAGACTTTTTTTTTTATTCCTGCTGTAGGGATATATGCAGATATAATGACTGATTTTAGGCAGCCATTTTTGACTATGAGGAAACATACTAAGGGAAAGCAGAGCAGTAAGGGAGACAAACCTAGTCACTGGCACTGAGATCCACTGCACCTGCAGATCCATAGCTGTGGAATATACCAGGATTACCCATCTCTAGCCTACTTTTTTGGGGGGTGGTGGGGGGAGAAATATGTTTATTTCTGAATTTGGAATTCAGGGAGACAAGTCAGTTTAGATACCAAGGCCAGCTCAGCTCCTTGGATTTTACAGTCTGTATGTATAAGCATAAGCATTGAGGTTTGCTATTGATTAACATCAAACTACATGACTTACAGAGCATTATATAGGATCCCAGTATAATTTCATTTAATCAATTATAGCATTCATTGTCTGCATATTCTTGGTATACTTGTTACTGGGAACCTGTAGTTTTCATTTATCAGTAACTCTAAGCAATGGAGTTAATGAAGCTTACTATAAGATAAAACATTATTCATTGTGATACATCATTAGCCAGTGGGTACAACAAAACAAAAGAGTCTCCTGGTTACAGTTACAAGAGTAATATAATTGTATTTCTAACACTAACTATTGATTATAGAAATGAATAATAATCTATTTTACTAACTATATGAATACAACCATGGGGTCAGTGACTAGTTCTGTTCAGAAATAAACTTCTATCTTGTCTAAGCCACAGTTACTATGGGTTTTCTGAACTTATTCCTAACTGATAAACTACTCTTGGCCTCAAGGAGATTAAGATCTGGAACAAGAATACTTGGCACCATGTGAATATTTGATAGAAATATAGATACACTAACTTCTGTATAATTAATAAATTTATTTTAAAAATCAATCTATAAGGAAATAATGTCTTAAACTCACCAAGGAAACTAATCCATTAAAAGAAATATTATAAAATGCTTATATGAACATGGAGACAGAAAGAAAATTATGGAAGATATGTATTAATTATACATAATTGAATAGTTTTTACTTCTTACAATGAGTAATACTTCTGAGGTTTAAAAGACTTAAAATAAAAGCAATAATTGATAAATATTTCTATGAAGGAAAAATATATTGATTTATCTTTATTGACTTATTTTTTAGATTAGAAAATATAGTTTATTTAGAAAGTAAATTGGAGAGATAGAGAGAGAAAAAGAGGGGATTCACCTCCCCAAAGGATGGGAGGGGGTCAAAGTTTAAGAAAACATGGCCTGGCCACAGCTCAAAGAGCACATGGTCAAACCATAGCTTAGCAAGGCAATGGCCATCTTTATTGACTTTTTAAAAGGGAGAATTCTATATATTTTTAGGCCCTTGAATACTTGGATTCTCATTCCTGAAACACTAACAACTAGATGTGGAATCTTTGTCAAGTCATTTAAACTCTCTGAACCTTAGTTAGTAAAATGAGAATGTTAGTAGATAAATTTTAAAGTTTCTTCCAGTGCTAAAATTTTGTGGATTTAATCACATAATTGCTTCAATGAATATCTTACTGCACTTCTCCGTTCTGCTTTTTATGAATTTAAAAGTTGTTAAAATGAGTTAGTCATGTAGTTCTAGTGTGTCTATACTGAGACAGAGATGACCTCAAACTTAAATGCTGTAGAAGAACAAGGCTGGTTAACTCCAAACACCATCCTTTTCCTGTGTTTCCATAATGACTTTTCTATGCCCATAGCATCATATTTCTTAACGTGCTATAATTTTTTGATTTGTATATCTGTTCTCCTGTAGATTATGAGCTCCTGTAGGTTTGGGAGCAGGAAATGCATCTCCCTGGTGCCATATACTGGCCTGACTATACAGAAGGTAATTAATAAATGCTCACTGAAGAGAAGTGAGAGAAAGAAGATTTGTATAAAAAGATTCTGATCCTAACAGCAAAGGATGACTAATCTTGTGACTGGTAACTTGAAATTTTATCCTTTCTCTTTGTAATCCAGATTAGGATTTTAATTGATTTGTGATATATTCATTAATCAAAAAAGTTTTAGGAATTCTTGACAATTTTTGCAAATTTTAATGGCTTTTAGATTGTGGCCAGAATAATCCAGCCATCATGAAAAAAAGGGAAGTGGGTTTCATGTTGATGTGGATCAAAAGCCTTTGCGCTGCCTCTCATTTGTGACATTGAGAGACAGGAGTGTCTTCAATACATTCTGGGAAACAGGCAATACAATGTGAGGATCTCAGTGCAGTCCATTTCCTGGAACTGCGTGAACTCTGGTAGAGAAATTTTATCTAACGCCCTTGTTGTAGTGAGCCACGCCAGTGCCATGAATGAGGACTAAAAACAACTTCATTCTCATTGTTGTCCTATACATCTGAATGAATGACACACACTCTCCTCTGAAGGAAAAAGAAAATAAGAAACGTGAAAAGGGCTCATGGTTTTAATTCCAATTGTAAACTTTGCTGTTTCCTTGCCCTCCTGCCTGGTGATTGCAGTTCCATCAGGAAGGAAAAACACTATGGACTTAAGTATCAAGCCAATACATATTCCTAATTGAGACTCATACTACAATTAAACATTTATATAGAGAGATAGTAGAAATTTTTTAAAAAACAAGATAAATAAATAAAAAGAGACTTCAAAAAACAATAAAAGTAAAATATCAGAATTAAAGAGCATACCGCAATACCCTGGGGTTCCACATACTGTCTTCATGAGCACTTGATGTTCCACAATTTTGGAGAGTCCAAAATCAGCTAACAACACAAGAAAGACATTTAATGAAGCAATTTTTTTCTCAGCTTTCATAAGATGACAGGATACTTCTGTTATTTAAAAGTAAAACTACCTTATTTATTTATTTGTTAATTTGCTTTTGTGTTTGGTAGAGAGGTTTGGGTGGAGATGAGTCACCTGAGAGGAAGCTAAAAAATAATTCAAGTTTTTTTTAATTGGAGAAAAATATCACTGTCAAATACACTTACAAATAAATTTAATCTTTGCTCTTCTCTATAATTCCCAACTTTTAGTAAATTTTTCTTAAAGTAATAGTTGTAATAGTTATATTTTGTCTATTATTAATTCCAAAATTTATGCAACAGTAAGTCTAAAAGAACAATACAGAATTACTGATACAATTCAAAACATTTAACGCATTGAGAGAGAGTAGACTTTCATAAATGTCATGAGAATAAACAAATATATCAAAAGGTTTATTCTACTTGAAAGTAAATAATGCCAGTCCCTAATGCATTTGACTTAGAAGAATTTACTCTCAAATGCAGACTATAAGAATTTTTTTTTTTTTTTTGCAAAAATTCTTTAAATTTATTTCTCAGAATATTACCTAGGTAAAATATTATCAAAAGATACTGCCATTATGATCTATTTGTTGAGCTATATCTCTCCTACTCAGGAAACAACAGGAAACTGTTCAAGGCCATTCTTCAAGAGAGGCAGGTGCAGAATGGATTCCATTTTAGACTTCAAAGATAAACCCACATTTCCACGAAGGTGCCTGATCCTTATCAGTATAAGCAGCAGGAAGCCCTTCAGAAAGATAGGCTCTCTTGCCTAAATTAGTATCTATCCTTCCATTTAAAGAAATTGCTTTAAGGATCAAATCTTTGAAAGTTATGTCAAAGGAAATGGAAACTGCCTGCTGTCTACTGCCTTGCAGGAGTGATTATGAGAACAAGCTGGCTGCCCAGCAGGACTTTTAGGATTTTTTTTTTTAGGTTCTTGCATTCATAAAGCACATCATGTTGTCTGAGTTCTTCCCTGATAAGAACAACTTAATTTTCAAAGACGTCAAAACTTGTAAATGCAGCGAACTCATAAGATTAGCATGATAAAGACAGCACCAGAAGAGCAATGCCCTTTGGGTGATTTAATGCAGATTTTATGAAGAATAATTCATCAAAAATACATTTTATATATTTTTTTGTAAATGAAGATTTGCTTTAGAAGAGAAATGGAGAGTAACATTTATTATGTACATTTTTTTCCCTAAAACACTAACTTAAAGGTTTCTTTCAGTAGATCAAAATTTCCCAAAGTTCAGCTTTGTAATCCTTCAAATGCTTATTGGGAGGGAAAAAAAAGAGGTTTCCAGAGTAAAATAAAGTTTAGGAAAAGCCTCAAAGGACATTATAAAATACACTAATCTACGCATTTGCATTTTTAAGATTCTGGGAAGGACTACAGAAATAAAAATTGTGTTTAACTTTGTTACAGTTGGCATTTCCTAACTTATTTGACTAACTTTAGCACCTTCTTAAACTATTATTCACTCTGCTGAGAAACCATAGTTCAATGGAGTGCATTTTGGGAAATACACAGAGATAAATTATTTATCTCTGTTTATATAAACCAGTGACTCAGTACCCAGATCCACTAATATGTGCTAAGTATTTTATGTCATAGTTTTTGATTATCTGAAATTAAGCCCCAAATAGTCCGTGGAATAAAAGTTAATATCCCAAAAAGAAGTGTTAGGTTTTCTGTCATTTTAATCTCTATAAACCGATTGTTATCTCCTGACATCCTTGCCATTTCTAAGACTCATGATTCTTTTATGTGCCCAGGAATGGAGCACTAATTTCCAGAATAACATTCTCAGGAAGAACACAAACTTCCAAAACAATGATGCATTATTCCTTCACAGATGTCAAATATCCAAGGAAATTAAATGAAGACAAAACTAGGTAGAGCAATATTTTAAAATTCCACAGAATAAATTAATTCTGCTCTGGAAAAAGGGATCATAAAACACCAGAAAACATTCTCACCGATTTTGAGTGGTGCATCTGGGGCTGGAGTTGCATAGAGAAGATTCTCTGGTTTGAGATCACGATGGACAATTCCATTTTCATGTAGGTACTAAATAGGGAAAGTAATGAAGTAACATTTTTGTGATTCTGTTTATGGCTTCAACATATGTAATCCTGTAAGAAATAACTATGTTATGTGATTCAAGAACACACACATATTATGATTTAAAAATAAACACCATAAAGGAAAATATGTTTTAGACTATACATTAAATAATATCTTATAAATAATTACCAAAATGTGATGCAATTTAAATTGTATAGAAACAACTTCCAGAATGAAATATTTATTCCTCAGAGAATTTTAGTTTTAGTTCTCTTTAAGTATAGTACCAGATCAACTGGAACTGGCTAGTTATTACAATAAAGTCAAGGTGCCGTGTATTGAAATTTATCTGTTTATTATCTAAAAAACATAATTGTTTGTATTGTAATCTTAGGAATTCATAACCAGACTAGGTGCAGTGGCTCATGCCTATAATCCTAGCACTTTGGGAGGCTGATGTGAAAGGATTGCCAGTTTGAGATCAGCCTGGGCAACTTGGTGAGAACTCATCTCTACAATAAATCAAGAAAAATTAACTGGGTGTGGTGGTGCCCACCTGTAGTTCTAGCTACTTGGAAGACTGAGGAGAAAGGATTGCCTGAATCCAGGAGGTTGACGCTGGAGTAGCAGTGAGCATGCCACTGCATTCCAAGCTGGCTGACAGAGTGAGACTCTGACTCAAAAAAAAAAAAAAAAAGAAAAGAAAAGGAAAGAAAAGAAATTCACAACCATAGCAAACATTTCATAATCCTTGTTTGAACAGACATTTAGATGTGAGTAGTTATTGTAGAGAACTGTCTTTAATAAGATATACATTGTTTAATGACGATGAACTGTTCTCATAGGCTCTTATGAGAATTACGAAATCCAAATGTCAAAAAGATATAGAAAGTTGTGTTTGAGATGACTCTTAAATATCACCTCTAGCAACTCTACTCATTTTATTGTATTTCATATAATTTTATAAAATTACATGTAAACACATATGCAACATACTCTCATTGTAAATGCTAACTAACCTGCCTTCCCAGTTCGTCCCCTCTTCAAAAGTAATCACTGATCAGTTTGAAATTGTTTTTCAAAAAGTTAGTTTGAACTTTTTTCTATGTATTTATAAACATGAATACAGACACACACACACACACACACACACTGATAACCCTGGTTTTCTCTATCTTCTTACTTAAATTTATTATTAATATAGCTTTTATATGTATTTTTCACTTAACAATATGTTTTTGAAACCTTTCCTTCATATCACTTCAGCTTATCCAAATAAAGCCTTGCATCTTATATAAAAATTCATTATATTATTCCTTTTTAAATAGACTTTCAAGTTGTTTTCAATTTTAAAAATATTACAAGTAATTCAGCAATAAACACTCTAACACTTGCATATTTGGGTGTTTCTGCTGGTATTTCTTCAAGACAGATACCTGGAAGCAGGTCTGGTGGTAAGGTCAAAAGTTATATAGAGTTTTCAGTTTAATACATACTGCAAAATCATTCTCCTAAAAAGTTCCATCAGTTTTTTACTCACACAGTTTATGTGTATGTGTTAATATATTTGCTAAGTCTATATTTTTAATTTTTGCTGAGTTAGAGTGCAAAGATTGGGCCTTAAGTTTGGTTGAATTGGGTTCCCTTTGTTTACTAGTATAATTGGGCTTCTTTTTATGCTTCTTGCCTATCAGTTTTCTTCTATGTATTGCCTGTTCATGTCCTTTGCCCATGTTTCTGTTGGGTTAAGAGAAAAAGTCGCCAGTGTTCTGTAGTCTTTCTCCTTTTTTACCTCATTCAAGAAGGCAAGAAGTCCTTTCTTTATACTGAAGCCAAGTAAGGGAGTGGTAGAAGTGTGGCTTCAAGACCATGTAGTGATCAGGGGAAACAGGGACTAATAATTGGCTTACTCATGAAAAACTAAAAGATGAGAGAATGCTTGCAGCAGCAGGTGAGTGAGAAGAATGATACAGTTACACTCAAATAATAGCAGGGCAAGGATGTACATTTCTCTTGGGCCCAATGTGGACACTGCAGAAGGTACTTAGACATGAGTTTTCTTGAAGGGACCCTTCATGGGTTTCCTGCCAGGTGATGCCATCTCAGCATCACAGGAGGCAGAACATGAGGGTAGTGACAGCAGTCAGCTAAAGAGCCATTGACTCCTCAGGACAACTGGGGAGAGAGAATTAACCTGCAGTGGAAGGTTCTCTGTAGAAGCCTTAAATGCATCCCATAAGGAAAAGAACAATAGGCATGTGTAGCCCACCAAACCCATAGATCATCAATGGCAGACCATAAGTGTAGCAGTCAGGTAAGACCTTTTTCTACTTTTTGTTTCGTGTTCCCTTCCTCATCATCACCCTCACTTACCAACCCTAGAAAAACCACAAAAAGCAACTAGTTCATTAGAAAAAAAGCAAGGAAAAGAAAAGAAACCAACAAGTATTTTTATCCCCCCATATTTATAAATTTTAGATTTCTAAGGTCCAAGTAGGGGGGGGAAGTAGAAGTTTAAAATGGGGTAAAAGTTTAAAATTTTGGTCTTTTCCTTACCTGACTGATTGGAAAAGCTATAAAAATGGTCTGAAATTTTATTCCTGGAGGGGAAGAATAGATTCAGAGAGTGAATTTACCAGAACAATAGTGAGAAAAAATAAAGTTGCTTTTGCACATCTCTCCAAGTCTAGCTCACTCATTACAGTAGGTTATTTCCACATGTAGATAATATTGTACATGTTCTCAGCACTTACTATATTCCAAGCTCTATTATAAATACATTATACTTGTTAACTCATTTAATCTTCACAACAATTCTATGAGGTAAATCATCTAATGGCTGTAGAACCCATCCTCTTGCCTATTACATGATTCTCAAGAAGGATTTATTACTTAATTGAGTAAGGGGGGGATGAGAGGAAAATAAAAATGAATGAGAGGAGAGAATACTGGAGAAGGGATGTTATGAGAGTAGAAGAAGAAATGAGATAATAATAGAGTATCAGACTTGACCATAAATGATACCCAGGAAAAACCTGTCATATCCTTAAGGAAGAAGATACTGCATCTTGATATAAGATGAGTTTGAAGGGGAAGATAAAATATCTCATATAGTATAACTTTGAAACTTGCCTAAGAATTGCATAGTTTGGGACCAATAGAAAATATTGATTTCTTTTTCCCCCTAATCTCCCAATTTAGAAACTCCATTGCTTTAGAAAGAAAATGACACTAAAAATAGGAACACAATAACAGTAACAAATGAAATGTATGTTAAATTTCAGCTTAGCAAAGTACTGATCATATGAAGATTCTCACTAAATGTTTTTCTGACTTCCTTGAACAGAAATAGTGGTTGTGTTCTAAGTGCAAATTAAACAACACAAAAATTAGCAATGACAAGAAAAACAAAGATCATTTGGTACTTCATAAAGGAAAGTTAGACTGGATTTAAAAAGGCAAGTTTTAGAGACAATAATAGAATTAGGAACTTTGTGCTACCAGAGAAAAAATCTTTAAAACAAAACTAACCAATAAAATGCTAAAGGTCATGATCTTGGTTTTCAAAAAGACATGCAGGAATAATTTGCTAAAAATTATTTAGTGTAGAAAGATTATCAAAAGTCATGATATAATCATATACATATGAATGTATTTAACTGACAGAATGGCAGAAGTTGTCATTTTATTTTTGTTTAGCTCCATCAGTCACCTTCCACCAGTAGTATTTCTAAGCTTCACATTATCTCAAGTCAGAAAGAAGGAAAAGTGGAGTGTGATCTTTTTGGCTTTCCCCAAGGAGATACAATAATTAGAAGCAGCAATACTCTTTTAGAACATAAATTCTCAAACTTTTTAGTCTCTGGAATGCTCTATATTTTAAAAAGTTATTGAGGACCCCAAAAAGTGTTTATTTACATGAGTTACCTCTGGCATGATTAGGAAACACTGAAAAATTTAAAAAACCCTGTTGATGTATTTTTATTTTTTAATTTAATTTATTTTAAAGATATGGGGTACAATTCCAGATTAGGTATACACGTGGTCATCATACAGGTAAAGGATTAATTTTTAAAAAGTAATAAGATCCTGACACATTAGTATATGCAACATTTTAAAATAAAAATAATTACATTTTCTAAAATTAGTAACTTGAGAGCTATTCTTTCATAATTTTACAAATTTCATTAATTTCTGGCTTAACAGAAGACAGCTAGGTTCTCATATTTGCTTCTGCATAGTCTATTGTAAAATCATACATCTTGTACCCTCTGGAAAATTTCACTGTATTCTTGTAGAGTAAGGAGAAATGTTTTCATATTGTGATGCAATAGTTTTAACATAAAAGATTCTCTGAAAGGGTCTCAGGACCCTCCAGAGAGATCTCCAGACTACACTATACTTTGAAAATTGCTATTTAAGAGTATCTGAAAACATTTTTTAAAAATCAACAGTTTAAGAGCTGAATAATAAGCATGCTTTCCTTTATTTAAAAACAGGATTTTATCACCTAAATGCCATTAACTGATCAGTGGATAATAAAAATGTGGTATATACATACCATGGAATATTATTCAGCCTTAGAAAAGAAGGAAATAATGTCTTTTGCAGCAACTTGGATGGAATCGAAGAATATAGTCCTAAGTGAACTAATGCAGGAACAGGAAACAAAACACCACGTGTTCTCACTTATAAGTGGGAGCTAAACTAAGGAACTGCAAAGGCACAGAGAATAGTATAATGGACACTGGAGACTGAGAAGGGGGAGGATGGAGAGATGAAAAATCACCTCTCAGGTACAATGTGCACAGGTGGGGTAGTGAGTACACTTAAAGCCCAGACTTGTTCACCACTATACAATGCATCCACGTAACCAAAAACTATTCTTACCCCTAAAGCTATTGAAATAAACAAACAAACTGGATTTTACGTGAAGCACACACTTCTAATCTCATCTCAAGCACTAATCTCATCACTTCAGGGTGCAGCACATAGAG